TTTAATTTTACAACATTATGAACAGTATTTTAGACCAAGTTTTTTGTATGTGATTTTCATAGAATTCACGATGTAGTTGTTTTCGCCTCAAGTTATAATTTTCGGAAAAATATTGAAAAGAATAATTATTATTATCAATTGTTATAATTATTAATATTGACGAAAAGAGGTATTTCAGTTCCTTTATTTATACGAATCCAACTGGCCCTACTGAAAAGGTAAAGTGCCGTCATGGCGCAGAAACCTGGTCCTGTCCCTGCCATTCTTTACATGGATAAAATCTTGAAAGAAATAGTTTGATGTGCCACATCTCCACTTTCCATAAAAAGGACTAGGTTTTGTTTTACAAGTTTGTTTTGTATGAAAAATGATCACACGACAACAATAAGTTAGTATCGGAAAATTTTCAATAACTGTTTCACGAAAATCTATAAAGAAATGCTCATTTTTTTTGAAACATTTTTAGATTAAACAAGATGTTGTAAAGTTTCTAGACAAGGTCAAGTTTGAAACATCTTAACCTATTTGTAATAAAGCGTCCACTTTATTCACTATCATTATGTGAAACAAAATGATGTTATGACTTTGCATATATGGAGTTAATTTACTTTTTGATTTTTTTTGTCCAAAGGCAACTCTTTTAAAATTAAAATTATTTTATATGGTACAGTGCAAGTCACTTAGTCCCACAACTTTTTATTGGTCATGTAGACTTTCAAATTCTCCAAAAATAGAAATGCAACACCCAAAAAATAAATCGTGTATTTGAAGCCAAGACCTTCCTCTACAAAATCACAATTTCATTTCGTTGATATGTCATGTTGTTGTGGAGGATTTGAGCTTTAAAGTTGCACAAAGTTTACCAAATTTACTATTCTTGGCCCTAAAATGGCCAGTTACACACAAAAAAGTTAATATATATCAAAAATAGATGAATTGAAAAATTTATCTTATATTGCAGATCTTTTGTCACGTGAATTTTCTAGATGAACGGAAGATAATTAATCTTTGAAAATCATGTGACCATATAATTTTTATTGCATTTTTGATTGGAAATTTTTTCTCAAAATTGGCCACTGTGGCGCAGAAAGTTGTGGGACTAAGTGACTTGCACTATAATATTATTATTATGAATAGAAACCATTTAAATTTGATAAATAAATAAACAAATAGCTTTTATTTGTAAAATAATTAATTTTGTTCCTTTGGTGTTAATGATTGAATCAATCACACAAGTAGTAATCAATTTAAACAGCATTGTTTAGTTGTATGTGAAAATGAAATTATGTGAATTCGCAATTCACATATGGGGTCTGATTGGAGCGTCCCACATCATATGATTTAGAAACATAGTCAACTTTTTATTAAGAAGGATTTTTCATCAATCTTTTTTTAATAGTAAACTTTGAACAAAAATAACTCTTTAAAAAACAGAGGTACAGATTCCAAATTAAGTTTAAAATATATTAGAAGGATAGGGAAATGTCCCTATAGAGAGTTTTTTTTAATTTTAA